CTCACTTGGTAGCCCAGGCTGGCCTCGAACTCACAGAGATCCGCCTGGCTCTGCCTCCCGAGTGCTGGGATTAAAGGCGTGCGCCACCACCGCCCGGCTTCCTTTGGGTTTTTTAAAAATATTTTTTAAAGATTTATTTACTTATGTATACAGTGTTCTGCCCGCATGTGTCCCTGCATGCCAGAAGAAGGCACCAGATCTCATTACAGATGGTTGTGAGCCACCATATGGTTGCTGGGAATTGAACTCAGGACCTTTGGAAGAGCAGCCAGTGCTCTTAACTTCTGAGCCATCTCTCCAGCCTGTGTTTTTTGTTTTTCGAGACAGGATTTCCCTGTGTAACCTTGGCTGGCCTGGAACTCGGAGATCCACCTGCCTCTGTCTCCTGAGTGCTGGGATTAAAGGCGTGTGCTACCACTGCCTGGAAAAGTGATATTATTTTTTTTTCTTTTGGTTGGGGAACTCAAAGTAACTTTTGTTTTTCGTTTTTTGAGACAGGTCTATTAATGTATTAATATTATTAATTTATTATTAATACATTATTTTATTTATTTATTAATACATTGTTATTTATTATTAATGCATTAATTATTAATGTATTAATTAATATTAATTTAATGTCTATTAAAGTAGCTCTGGCTGTCCTGGAACTCTCTATGTAGATGAGGATGGCCTCACAGAGATCCACCTATCTCTGCCTCCCCACACTGAGATTAAAGGTGTGCTCAACCTGACTGGCTGCTGTCCTGGATCTCACTTTGTAGACCAGGCTGGCCTTGAACTCACTGAAATCCACCTGCCTCTGCCTCCCAAGTACTCGGTTAAGGGTGTGCACCACCACCACCTGGTTTAAATGTAATTTTTAAGGCTCTGACATTCAACAATTTACAAGAATTTCCTGAAACTGACAAGGTTCACACCTCCCCCCAACACCCCTCACCCCGCCCCAACTGCTCAGGGGAGGAGACTGATGATAGCTCGCTGAAGTCTTGCTCCAGGGCTGGGATGATCTTTTTACACTTGCACACATATATGGACACACACACAATAAATTAATAGACATAAGGGGCTGGAGAGACGGCTCATTGGTTAAGAGCATTGGCTGCTCTTCCAGAGGCCCAGGTTCTGTTCCCATCATCCACTTCCCACTTGGCAGCTAACAACTATTTGTAAGTCCAGTGCCAGGGGATCTGATGCCCTCTCCTAACCTTCATAGGCACTGGGCACACAAATGTGTGCACAGACATATATGCAGATAAAAACATCCATATATATAAATAAACTTTTTTTTTTTCCGGAGCTGAGGACCGAACCCAGGGCCTTGCGCTTACTAGGCAAGCATTCTACCACTGAGCTAAATCCCCAACCCCCATAAATAAACTTTTTAAAATTAAGTACAAAACCTGATTTCACTCCTCGATGTGTGACCCAGGAAAAACTAACTGCTCCCGCCTCAAGTGTCCTTATCTGACAAATGTAGACATTAAGCGCTGCTCTGCGAAGCTTCTTTGCTAGGGTCATTGAGGATTAAATAATACTTGGAGAGCACTTAGTGCCGAGCACTCGTCTAAATTCGGTAGTTAACAACTTTAATCTTCCCACCAATCCGATAAACAGGATTCTCTCATGCCCATCAGCTGAGCTCAAACGCACTGAGCCTGGATGAGTGGCAGGAGGACTCCCTCTCTGGGGACTCGCTGTGACGTCAGGAAAGGGGCGGAGTCTTCCCGCGGGAACGTGTGCCCTGAGTACTACAACTCCCAGCAGGCCATCGCTGAACTACAATAACCAGTATGCCCCGGGGCGTGAATTTTAACCTCTTCCTCTTGCGTCGTTCTTCTCGTGGGAATTTGCATGCTCACTTTCGCTTGCAAGATGTGTCTGCTGGCAGAGCATTTGTGAGCGTAGGGGATAAAGGGCTGTGTTTTAGCCTTCACTTCACCTACTGACTCTGAATCTCCGTTTTCTCATCTTTCTTTTCCTCTCTTTTCCGAAACAGGATCCTTCTGTAGCCCTGGCGGACTGGCCTGGAACTTCCTATTTAACCCTTATTTGAAAAGAATTTTTTGCTGCTTTTGCTTACGAATATTTTCTGTATGCATGCATGTATATACACCACACGCATGTCTGATGCCTAAGCGGTCAGAAAAGGACTCGGAGTTTCTGACAGTTGTGAGCTGCTGTGTAGGTGCTGGGAATGGAACCCGGGTCCTCGGCAAGAGCAGCAAATACTCGTAACGGTTGAGCCATCTCTCCAGCCTCCCTTTCCTCGACTGTAAAATAGGACTATTCTTAGGAGTGCCTGGGATTTGTACGTGGCTTAGTGAATGCCAGCTTTCCTGGTGTGCCTTCATCCTCTCATGGTCAAGGGGTTTCATCAAAGCATGAAGGGTGATTCTGCATTCCCTTTTCAGATGCTAGGTGTTTCAGACCTCTGGGGTATTCCTTGTCGTTTGAGACAGGATCTCAACTATGTAGCCCAAGCTGGCCCTAACTTGATCCTCCTGCCTCAGCCTCCCTACTGCTGGAACTACAGGGGTGTACCATGTCCAGCTGTCTTGACAAACCTGTTAGCAGAAGCCACCCAAAAAGGTAAACAGTGCAGACTCATACCCAAAGATTCTCACTTCTGAAGTGAGTCAGCCTCAAGAGCTAAATTGCTTTTCGGTGGCCTGAAGTGCAGAGCAAATACTGTCTGTGCTTCCAAAGGCCGATTTGTGTCATGTGATACGTGAAGCAAAGGCAAATGGCATGGCATGTAGCTGGAAAACTTGGCATTCTGAAAGTTATAGCCAAAGGGCTCTGGTTGGAGAAGTCTTGGAAGTCTTTCCCAAGGGAGTGACAGATTGACTGGTGGGAACAAGAGGAGAGATAGAAGGCTCTGAAGAGAGGGAGACCACGAGAGAGGGTCCAGCAGCCCTTTCTTTGTTGTTGTTGTTTGTTTATTTGTTTTTGGTTTTTGTTTTTCACGACAGGGTTTCTCGGTGTAGTTTTGGTGCCTGTCCTGGATCTCGCTCTGTAGCCCAGGCTGGCCTCAAACTCAGAGATCCGCCTGGCTCTGCCTCCCGAGTGCTGGGATTAAAGGTGTGTGCCATCACTGCCCGGCTCCAGCAGCCTTGGAAAGAACCAATGCCACACTAGGGAGGTGATGCATGTGTCCAGCCTATGTAAGGTCAAGGCTAGCGTGAGGCTGGTGTGGTATGGTGGATGGAAACCTGGAGACACACCTCAGTAAGCAAGTACAGCATTGGGACAGGGAAAGCCGCCTCCGTACTACGATGCCACAGACACACCTCTTGAGCAGCGAGCATCGGGCCAACCCTGGGAGCAGAGCCCTGTACGTTGTGTAGCCATCCTTCCCAGTTTGTCTGGAGACTGGTCCCTCTGTGTTCTGGAGGAACTGTAACAGACTCCTTTTAGTCTGGTGTACGTATGTCTGTCTTCTGCACTGGATGATAATCCTGAGCTGACCACATACTTCCTAAAGGGAGAATGCAGTGGAGATGTTAACACCCAACAGGTGACCAATGGGACCTTCTGGTGAAGGTTTCCGGCTTCCTTGTCCCTCTGCAGGCGCTTAGCAGTGCGACCTGGAGCCGGCTACTTCACCTTTCTCAACCTTGGTTTCCACATTCACTTAGGACTTCACAGCAAAGTTGGCTTCGGGATGGGTTTACAGTGTATGCAGATGCGTGTCTCTAAGACCTTTGCATATTCAAGTCTGTGTTGAAACGAGATCGACAAAGGAGGCCTTTCCTAATTGTTCCCTACTGCCCCTTCATAGGGAAAACGTTTGTTTACTTCTCTGTGCACCTAGAATGCAAGCCCTGGAGAACAGACTCTTGCTTCTTTGGGGGTGTTACCATCTCCAGCACCTAGCAGTTCTACAGAATAGGTGCATAATAAATATCTGAATGAATGAATGAATACTTAATTGCAAGAGTGAAAAGATGCGACGCTAGGGATGTGGCTCCCTTAGTAGAGCTTGCATAGCAGGCCAAAGCTCGGGGTCCTTCTAAACCACCCCCAGCCCTCCTAAAACCAGGTGTAACGCAGGCCTGCGACCTAAGCTTTTGGAAAGTGGAAGCTGTAGAATCAGAAATTCAAGGTCATCCTCCTCTATAAAGTGAGCTCGAAGGCAGCCGCGCTACCTGAGACCCTGTATCAAACAAACAAGACCCCTAAAAAACAAAATAAATAAAAAATAAAAAAAATGGCAGACGAATGCCTCAGGAAGGTTCAACTCCCTAGCAGCGCCCTCTCCTTTCAAGCCTGAGACCCCGTAGCAGCAGCGACGCTGGAAACAAGATTGTGGGGGCCACAGTCTGACCTATTCAGGCCTCTCGGCTGTTTTTCTTTTCTTCAGGTACCCCATAACAAAGATCATCTGGCCTGGGTTCCAGTTCTGACTCAGCTACTTAACAGCTGAACTGGACATCTCCTGGCTTCATTTTCGCATTTAATAATAACCTGCTCGCGACGGAGCGAGAGGGGAGCCCAGCGAAGAAAGGCGCCGGGCGCCGGGCTCCGCAGCCCTGCTCCGCTCGGCTCTCCCCACACAGCGTGCTCACCCCGGGCCCCGCCGTCGAGCACCTGCGCACCTCCTCCGCGCCCGCGCGGGGCGGGACTGGCAGGTTGCCCCGCCCCTCGTGCTTGCTCGCGGAAGACCCGGGCGAAGCCCTTCCCGCCCGGCTCGTGCGACCCCGAGCGGGCGTCAGCGGCACCGTCTGCGGCTGCGCCCACGCTTGCGCCTGCGCACCAGCGCCCGGGAAGCTCAAAGGGGGGGTGAAGAAGGGGCCGGCCTTCGAGCGACAGCGACGCAAGATGGCAGCCACCACAGGCTCGGGTGAGCGGAGGCGCCGGGCGTGCTGGCGGATGCGGCGCGGGCTGGCTGGGCTGGGCCTGGGGCTAGC